GGAGGGGGGCTCTGCCACTTGTCTCAGAGCTCCCACAGCCCCTGATGCTGCCCATGAGTGTGAGGCTTTTTTTTTAATGCCGGGAGGCTGGGGCAGCCATTGGGAGGGCTAGCAGTGCAAGAAGGGGGTGGGGCTCGGTGGAGCAGCCATTGGGGGGGCTGCAGGAGCTGGCGGGGGTGGGGCCACATGGAGTAGCAATCCGGGGGGCTGCGGGAGCAAGCAGGGGTGGGGCATATGGTCCCTGCAGGGGGGATTGTAGATCCTACAAGGGCCATAAAGCCCATGTTGGGGGGCTGTGGCCCTTGTGGGGAGGGGCTGTAGTCCTGTGGGATGCAGTCCGTGAGCTGTGCAGGGGGGCTGCACCCTGCAGGGGGAAGGGGACCCACCCATCCTGAGCAGCCCCCCACACACACAGTCCCCCCACAATCCACCCACACACCCCATGGCTCCCCACATCCCTTCACATCCACCCACAGTCTTTTGTTTTAATTGTGGAGAAACATGGATTTCGGGGTAGTTTACAGAGTGACTTTGGGATTTTTCTATCAGGGTTTTTTCAGTTTTCAAGTAGGGAACACCAGAATTCCTGCTAGGGAGGCAAGTGGCAGGACCCAGGCAGAGGAACCTGCTCAGAGCTGGCACTTTGTACCCAGCTGGAGGTGACTGATCTCCTGGCCAATTGGGGCTAGGAGGACATGCTTTGACAGTTCAAAGCAGGCCACCACACTGGGAACATCTTCAGGGCAATAGCTGCCCAGATGGCCAGGCAGGGGTGCACGTGGCAGTAGTGCCACAGAAAGGCCAACTCTGCAGCCACAGCCCACTGGCAGCTGGCCCAGAGAGGCAGATGCCTCTACTGGCTGTGCAGTCCCCATCCAGGTCTGGCAGATGTGCAGCAGGTCACAACCAGGCAGCAGCCCCCACTGCCAGACTGCTGCAGTGGGTAGAGGGTCCAGGGAACTCTCAGGGCTGCTTCAGCAGTCCAGCTGGCACAAGGGGTAGTGTCCCCAGGTACCAGTTGACTAGGCCCCAGAAGCTCCTGAGCTATTTGACAGGGCAGCTTTTTGTACTGATGGGGCCAGTACAGGTGCTTGCTCTGGGCTCTAGCACCTCCTGGCTGCAGATCCAGGAGGAACCAAGCAGCATTATTTTGCCCTAAGTGCCACAATTTGCCCCACATGGAAGTGCATGATCAGGGATGTGCTCTGAGGCAAAAAGCCCCAGCTCAAATTTGTACCACTTCTGTTTGAGCTGCTGCAAGCGCACGTGCTTGCATGTGTGGACGCGCCCTTGGAGTCTGTGGTTGTCCTGTGTGTTTTATTGTTGGTGCCTGTACGGGGAGATTGAAAGCAAAATACAAATAAATATAGTGAAATTAACAGCAAGTATAGTACAACCAAATCCTAGAAAGCAAGGTGACTTGCTATATATTTTATTGCAAAAATGCTCAGGGGCACCAGTAATAGCCCTAGGCTCCACTGTGCTAATTATTTTTATGTGAGAGGCAAGGATTTCTTAGGGTAATATTTTTTATTGGAGCAACTGTGTAGTTGGGATAGTTAGACAAGCTTTTGAATCCAAGATTTTTTTGTCAGGAGGTTTAAAAATAGCTGAGGTTTAGATAAAGTGCTCCAGTGGCCATTTTTAAATCCATGGGGGCTTATACACATGACAATGAGGCCATGGTGGAGCATTCTAATTAGAAAGTGAAGCAGATTTGATTAATCAAGCCTGCTCTGCCTCATTCTAATTAGACTGAGAACCAGCACATGTATTGAAAGCCACAGTTTACAGAACAAAAGAAGCTAAATACTGGGAGATCAAGACCTATCAAAAGGGTGGGTGGTCATTCTCACCTTTCCTATGTAGGAAGAATTCAGGAATTGGATAAAACATAACCTGCCATTGAACTGATATCCATGTTTAATCCTTGGTTCTTAGTGTCCTGCCAATTCATGACTTTTTGTTCCTAAATTGGCCTTTTAAAGGTGTTGGTAGATTTCCCTTGAGCATGAGGATAGTGAGGTCAAAGAGGGAGTGGTTGTGCTGTGAGAAATATGCTCCTAATGGTGTGTATATGTCTCTGTCTTTTATATTTTTTTCTGTTCATTTTGGTGCATAGTTGATGTTTAGTTTCACCCACGTAATTGCCATGAGGGCACTTGGTGCATTGGATCAGGTATAGCACATTTTTGGGAAAGGCGTGTTTAGGAGCTGTGGTTTCTCAAGTTTTTTTGATGGGGGTTATTGATAGTAGTGCCAATGAAGATGTGCTGACAGGTTAAGTATTTCTTGCCAAGGCCAAGCTGTGTCCCACTTGATGTTTGCTGGGTTGTGGAGAGTCTACTTCTGTTGACAAGCTGTGCAAGGTTAGGGGGCTGTTTGAAAGCAAGGAGCAGAGAAGCTGAGAATATTTCTGTCAAGGTCTTATCTTTGCTGAGTACAGGCTGCAGTTGTTTGGTGATTCTTCTGATCTGTTCTAGTGTGGGGTGGTAGGTGACCACCAGGTGTGTGCAGTTGCAGGGGTGTGCTTGGGGTGATTGCCGGTCTTGTGCATATATAGGTATGGTGGTCTGTGGGTTTTCTGTATATAGTGGTTTGTAGGTCTGTGCAAAGCTTTGGTCCCTGACTCTATTTGGCAGAGATTCGGCCCAGCTTGGTGGCCAGATCTCCTAATCCAAATTGAATCAGAGGACCCTTTAATCTCTCTGAATCGAATCAGAACCCTCTGAATCAATTCAGAGAGATTCAGAGATTCGGACATAGAGACAGCTTTAAATGTTTTTTCCACATACCTCTAGGTAGCATGGGCTCCTGATCACTGCAATGCTGAGGCACGTGGAGCATCGCACAGAAGCACAGGGGGGCTCCCCAGTGCGCTCAGTAGCAGACCCAGAAGTAGACCAGAAGCATTTCTGATCCACTTCCGGGTCCACTGGGGAGTGCATGGGGGTTATCTAGCTTGCGGGAGAGAGGTTGTTGTTGTCCTGGCTTTTGTTGAGACTTTCAATGTTAGCTTTCTTCCTGAAATAATTGATGTTGTAGTGCAGTGTATGGTTATGTCTGCTGGGAGGAGTCCAGTATGATGTTTTATTATTGTTTCTTTCTTTCTTCAGTTGTTGCAGGAAGGTTATTAGAGGTGGTTGTGTCATGGTTGTGTCCTGAATTATTCTATCAGGTAAAGTCTGCAGGAGAATTCTTATAATTTTCCACATATTAGTATCTTGCCAGGTTTTTTCTTTGGTTAGAAGTTCAGGACTTTAGAGAGTACAGATATTTCAGAATGGGATAGTGGGTGTGGTGATAAGTTGATGATGGTTGTGTTCTGAGTGCTGCTTTCTTGATTCCCTCCTGTGCTGCTGATTCCACCTTTTTCCTTATGTTCAGGCTTTAGTTCTGCAAAACACTGAAGTTCATGATTGAGTCCTTTTGGCACATGCTTAAGTGCTTTACTGAATAGAGGTGGATTTAATTATGTGTTTAAGTGCTATATTGGGTTGCCTTGGCTTTATTGAATCAGCCTTCTACATTTTGGAATTCAAGAGCTAATTTTGTAATCTTGTTTCGTTTTCTTATCCCAAAACAGTTTCGTGTGTTGGGACAAAAATGGTTTCAGAAGGAATTTTCACATGAAATGACATTTGACTTCACTACAGCTGAAGCTAATCCAGAGGTGTGTTTAGAGCTGAATTCTGGCACTAACTACATTGTGAATATTACTGCAGCATCCTCCACAGAGATCTCTGCCTTAATTACAATAGCAGTTCAAGCAGAGGGTAGGTATAATTTTGTATTCTTCATAACTCTTAGAGTAAGCCACCTTGTGTTTGACTTCATTGTCTTGAGCCCCCCAAATGGTTAAAAATAGCTTGTTCTTCTGCATTTGCAGATACTGTACCGTCAGCCTCTTGGGTGTGTCTATACATGTGCTTTAATGTGCAGTAGGCTATTTTACTGTGCATTAGAGTGTCACAGCAAAAACCACGCTAATCCACAGTGAAATTAGGCTATGGCACATTAAGCGTCACTGTAAAAGCATGCACTTTTGCTACTGCACATTAGGGGAGCCTAATGAACATTTGGTTAGTACCTTACCTTAAAGATACTAAATTTAATACACAGTAGCAAAAGTGCATTAATGAACATGTAGACACTCCCTTTGAGGCTAAAATATGAGATTCAAAAATAAAACAAAGAGTAAAAATTAAAATGAAATAGAATAGGATATTAAGCTTAGACAAGGATTAATTCCTGTAACAAATAATCATTCTCTTTACAATGTTGGATGTCCAATATTTAATTCTGGTGTAAATAATTCATTATTCATTATATGTGCTGCCTTTAAAGCACTTTGCAGCCAGGGGCCCAAAACACTTCACAGCCATTGAATTTACAACATCCTTATAAAAGAGGGAAGTAATATTTAATTTCCTGTTTTACATATAGGAAAACTATTTGTAATACTGTGTGCAGGGTTAGACAAGAAATATTTGTCAAGCCGGGGCCCCTTGTTCCTAGTGCTGTGTTCAGCAACAATATGATCCTTTTCCAGTATGAGACTGTTGCCTGAATACATCTACCTTTTACAGAAGTATTTGTGGGAAAACATTGAGCAAGACCAGAAATATTAAGGCCTGCTAAGTCTCCAATCAGATGCATAGAAACATAGAAAATTAGGGTTGGAAGGGACCTCAGGAGATCATCTATTCTAACCTCCTGCTCAAAGTAGGACCATACCCAACTAAATCATTCCAGCCAGGGTTTTGTTGAGCCTTAAAAACCTTCTAGGATGGAGATTCTACCACCTCTCTGGGTAACCCATTCAGGTACTTCATCACCCTCCAAGTGAGAGAGTTTTTTTCCTAATATCCAACCTAAACTTCCCTTGCTGCAACTTGAGACCGTTGCTCCTTGTTCTGCCACCTGCCACCACTGAGAACTGTAGCTCCATCCTCTTTGGAACCCACTGTCAGGTAAAGGCTGCTCTCAAATCCCCCCTCAGTCTTCTCTTCTGCAGACCAGCTTATCCTCATAAATCATACGCCCCAACCCCCTAACCATTTTTGTTGTCCTTCCTTGAGGCTTAAAAAGTACTGTGTGCTACGATGTAATCTCTACAAAAGATAAACTAATGTGGAAAAATGTAAGCACACTGTCTTTCACAGCTTTCTAGCCATGCCCTCATGACCTGAGCACAACTCACAGCTTGGAATTCATTTGCCATCATATGCCTACTTGAATAAAAAGATAACAAGAGCCAGGGTTTTTTTTCTGATTATTTTGAACCAAAATTCACATCTTTTTCCTCTCCCCATCAGCAGCTGGCTTGAAGTGGTGCTATGGCTATGGCGAGAAAGAGAAACCTTTTCATAGTTTCATAGTTAGTAGGGTCAAAAGGGACCTGAGCAGATCATCAAGTCCGACCCCCTGCCATGGCAGGAAAAAGTACTGGGGTCAAACAACCCCAGCAAGGTGTTCGTCTGGCCTCCCCCAGGGTAGGAGCCAGCACCACTTCACTTGGAAGTTGGTTCTAGATCCTAGTCGCCCAGACAGTAAAGTAACACCTCCTGATGTCTAATCTGAATCTACCTTCTGCCAGCTTGTGACCCTGGGTCCTCCTTCCTCCCTTTTTTGAAGATGAGAACCATGTTGGCCCTCTTCCAGTCCTCTGGCACCACACCAGAGCACCATGAGTGCTTGTAAAGCTGTGCCAGGGGTCCCGTAGTGACCTCAGCTAATTCCCTCAGCACTCTGGGGTGGAGATCATCCAGACCAGCTGATTTAAATACATCCAGTCCCTCCAGAAGTTCCCTGACTAGATCCTCACTGACCCTTGGCCTGGGTGCACCTCCCCTGGGGCCTGAGGGGGTCCCAGTGCGGGGGCTGATCCGGTCCCTGCTCGGGAAAATGGAGGCAAATAAATTGTTAAAGAGGTTAGCTTTGTTGTCTGGTGCGATGACCAGATTTCCTAGCATGTCTTGCAGGGGCCCTATGTTACCCGTTACCTTCTTTTTGTCCCCTGTGTATTTAAAAAAGGACTTCTTGTTGTCCTTGATCCAGGAAGCTAGTCCCAGTTCCATCTCCGCCTTGGCCTTCCTGACCGCCCCCCTGCAGCCCTGAGCATCCACAGTATAGTCCTCCCTGGTGATGGCCTCTCCCTTCCATTGGGTGTATGCCTCCCTTTTGGCTAGGAGATGTTCCCAGATGCTTTTGGTGAGCCATGGGGGCTTTTGCGCCCTCCTGCCCGCTTTGATCCCTGTTGAGATTACCTCCCTTTGGGCTGGGAGGATCGTCTCCTTAAGGAGCGACCACTCTTCTTTGACACCCGACTCCCCTCCCCTCTGGGACCTCAGTGCCTCCCCGGCTATTCTTCTTAGCTCATTGAAGCCCACCCTCCTGAAGTCTAGGGCTGCTGCCTTGCTGCAGGCCTTTGCTACCTTGCGCTGGATGGTAAATTCTAGCAGGCGATGATCGCTGTCGCCCAGGTGGTCAAGCACCCGCAGCCCCCTCACCAGGTTGTCACCCATGGCCAGCACCAGGTCCAACAAGGCGTCTCCCCTGGTGGGGCTGTGCACCTCCTGGGTTAGACAGAGGTCCTGCATTTCAGCTAGGAACCTATGTGAGCGGTCAGACCTGGCTGACTGCTCTTCCCAGCAGATGTCTGCAAAGTTCAGGTCACCCATGATGACCAGGTCCTTTGACCTAACTACCTCCGTGAGCTGACTTAAGAATTCCCAGTCTAGCTCTTCCCCTTGGTTGGGTGGTCTGTAGTAGACCCCCACTGTTAAGTCTCTTTCCCCTCAACCGCCTTGTATTCTAACCCAGTGCACTTCAGTGTGCCCTTCCTCTGAAATAGCAACTTGACAGCTGCCTCTGGCAAGTCAAAATGTGAGATTTGTCAATGAGGACAGACATGGTTTAAGACTTAAATTGGTCAGGTAGACCTTAATTTGATAAATTAATTGAAGTTATTAGCCAAGGAAAAGGAATCCAATTCAACTGTTGTTTAAAATAGAGTGTAGGAAATGATGCTATTGCTGACATCCCTAAATTTCTGTGCTCCTAATGACCATCATAGGACTGTACCGGGTCTCTTGTTCAGGGGTTTCCTTCCATGGAGATTAAATGATGATTCCTTTGAACCAAGTCACTGGTGGCACCAGTGTGAGAGACTGATGCTTTTCCTTTGAGATAGGTTCATGCCCTCACAATCAAAACCTTGTCTATCTGACTGATTGAAGACAACAGCAGCAGAGTCAGGACTGCATATAACGCTAGCTTGGAGCTTAGCTGCTCTTTTCTGCTTTAGCAGATACCAGCCAGGTCAGTAGGTTCAAGAAGTATAAATATGCCAGGAGACCCAACTCTGACAGCTGAAGGAAAGAAAAAAAAAGCTTCCAACACTCCTTTGCCTTTCTTCTGGCCCCCTGTACTCTAGTCGGTTTCTGAATTGCCCTTCAGACCTGGCAGAAGAGGAATTAAGGTCAGTCACCTTTTGCTAGCCAGTGAAGTCAGCTCTAGTGTTTTGGATCAGACTTTAGATTCACCAGTATATACATCCAAAAGAACCATTCTGGTTGTTCAGTCTTAGAGCAATGAGCGTAAGTTGAACATTTCTCTTGCCCTTGGAATTAAACCAGCTGAGCTATACCCTGCTTCACAGTAGCTGGAATAGCAAACTACATTGTATTCTTACTGCTTATTTGTATTTATAGTGATGTGGCACTGGTATTCTTAAGCAATGGTTGAGGTCTATAAATGGCTTAGGAGTTTATTACCCAACTCTGAGGACAACAGAGAAATCCATATAGTCCTTACTAATAGAGTTTATGGCCACATCCAGATGGGTGCGGCCATGCAGTATGTGGTGCTGTAGACCTGTCTGTGGTGCCACATACTACACATTCAGCTGCTCTACATGCTGCAAAGTACCAGCATGGAGGGAGAGGGGGCAGGGGCAGGTTTTGACCCTAGGAGATCCCCAAGTCAAAAAAAACCATGCAAAAGAAAAGCAGGGGAGCGCACTCAGGGCAGTGCATGCCACCGGAGCCTGGCCAGCCAGAGCTACACTCCAGCTGTAGGCCAGGCTCTAAGCAGCAGGAACACTGCTGCTGCAGCCCCAGGAGGCCCTCAGGACACCAGGTGAGGCTGCTTGGGCCAACCCAGTCCTGGCCCCAGCCTTCCTTGCCGACACGGGGAAACCTGCGATGTGCCAGAGGGTGCATGGCACAGGTGTTCCCCAGGGACAACTAGCAATGGCACAAGGTGTGCCGATGCCTTTTGTCCCTGGGGAAATAAATGTCTATGCTCATGTGGATGCAGCCTATGACTCCATTGCCTTGTGATGGAAAGCTATGAGACTGTGCAGTAAGAGGAAGGAAGAAGGCAATTTGCTTCTGTAGTGCCAGACTTTATCCTTGCTCTTGGCTTTATGACCAGGAAACATTAGTATTGGTAAAGGCTCCTTTAAATTATCTACCTGCTTTATGCACAGCCTCAACACATAAGCCTTCATGCCCAGGTACCTCATGTAGGGCTGGGAGAGAATGACTGTGTGTTGGAGGTGCTTAGAGTATAGACCTTTCAGCCATGGTGCATTTGGCTGCCATGAGCAACCAGCACACATCTAGAATGAAGAGACAAATGCACGGACAAACCACTTAGTAGAGTTACTGTTAACAGACCTACCAGCATAGGACAAGGAAAGAACACAAGATTTCAAAGGCTACACACACAACTGAATACAGCAATGTTATAACAGCATGCAAAGAAGAAG